CCACGGAGCACGGTACACCGGCACACCTTCCTTGTTCTAAATCTAAAAGAATCACGACCGGAAACTTCTCGGCTGCCCTAAAAGGCCGCTTTATCGACGAGCGGGCAGAATTCGAGATGCTTAATTCAGTCCCGAGATATCGATTATGGATTTCGGCAGAAGCTTTTCCCATCCAACGACCGGCCATCCGTGGGGCTGCTCATCGCGATGGTGCCTACGTCATTGGGGACTTATAAAAATTCGAGCAGAACTGCAGGACTATGCTGAGGAAAAGGGCCTTATCGAAAACCGCGAGTTGCCACATTTCTTCTGAAAAGATATGAGTATCCTGGAGAACTTCTGCATGGTTTTTTTTCTTACTACTACTAACAAGTCGCTCTTACAGCGCTTCTGTGCGCTCTGTGACACCCAACCGCCACTGATAGCGATCCTGCCAGAGCTCCTCCGGCAGATCGCATCTCCTCATTTCCTGCCTTATTCCCTCAATCCACGATTTGTCAGGGCGTCCTCTACGCTTTCTGCCACGGGGGACCCAATCCAGAACCTTTTTTCTTTATTTCTTTAAATTTTCCAAAAATTTCATTCGCAAATTAATCCATTGTAGAGTGTCTATATGAGGAGCGTACAGACACGAAAATTTCGGTAATTTTGGGGTTAGGTCATGGAGTTTTTAGGGCCCAAAAATGCATCAAACCTACGAATTCAAATGTTATCTCGAGCGATATATTATTACGATTGTTGCGATCTGTTGCTTGTAAAGCAAATTTTACTTAGTTTTTACGTGAATTTACTCATTAAAGCGAAAGAACGCTCATTAAAGACCATTCTTTGCCATCTTGGTTTGCTATTGGAATCTGAAAATTGGCAGGGACATTTTTTTGTGTTAGAAGGTTGGCTGCTCTATTGGGCCCTATAAGAGCTCCATATTTCCACAGGTCTTACTCTCCCTATGTAGGTACTCTTATCCGGTGCATCTAAAAAGAACCGCTCCGAGATTGGTCCTACATAATAGAATGGAATAGAGGCAAGGAATTTTCGCAGGGTTGTAATAAAGTTTCACTTGCGAAAAGTTTCTTGAAAAACCCGAAAAGTTCATTGAAACGTTCAGAAAATAATTTCCGAGGGGAGAAAAATCTTTAAAAAAATCCGACCAATCAAAACCGACAGTCGAATTGATTTAGCAACTTCAGGCATGCATCGCCTGAGGCTGAATTCAGCAATCAGCATTCAACATCCAGGAAACGCCGTTTCCCCGCCTGACTACACTTCATCAAAGCCCGTCAAAAATATATTTTCAAACGGGTCCCGGGTCCCATTTCCGGCAGTTTCGGAGTTTTTTTGTCACTTAAGGTTGAAAAAAATCTGAAAAATTCCTGGAAGCTTAGTTCAATCCGCATTTTCAGTAAATTAATTTGAAAAATGAGCGCCCCGGACCGTTTCTATTGACATGTGGCCTAAATGAAACCTTGTACAGAGATGAGCCCCCGATAGAATTTTCAACGAAATTTTCAAATTAGCTTCGGGGATACAGCCATCATTGAGCTTATTTTTTTTAAGCAAAGTTTTAAAAGCTAAAAAATGTAAAATAGGCAACGCTGTAACACAAAAGGCAGCTGTAAACTTAAGTTAAAATGTTTACTAGAGGCTGTTCCCATACTAAGATCTCGTTCTAGCCTCAATGAAGAATATTTCGACGGTGAAAGTCGGCAATCACATAACTCGTTTGTGGTGTCTGAAAATCTCCGCCTGTACTTCATTTTTTTAAAAGAAAACCAATTAACATTATTTCTTGAAGTTTTTGCAGAATTTTCTTCGAATTGAGAAGAAAAATCATGACAGTTTTAAAGAATTGTCGTTGAGTAGTTTTCCATTTAAAAAATAAAGTATGACAAGAAGTCTGCGACGTCGCAAACCGAGTTATGTGATTGCCGACTTACACGGTCGATTTGTAACTTTTCTCCAAAATCAGGGTGTCTACTAAAACAGGCTGGTCAAAAATAAGTACTCTTACATTACTTCTTCAGTGCATTCTCGAGAAATTCAGAACCTCCTCCAACAGAAAAATTCCGTACTTTTTCAGTACTTCCATTTCACGAAATTAGAAAAATTTTAAAAATTTGAAATTGCGACAAAAATGACAAAAAATTAAAAAAAATTCCGGACCTTTTTGCGGAAATTCCGCACTTTTTCGGTACTTCCGGACCACCCTTAAAAAATCAGTACTATTTCCGAACTTTCCGGACTAGTAGACACCCTCACTGGAAAAAAACACATTGGATCTAGAGTCCATACTCTTGAAAACATTGACAAGAAAAAATACTCTTGATTCAATCAGATTTTTGCTTAGATCAAAAGGAAATCCGCTCAAATTAAGAGACTTGGTTCTTGACTTAAGCAAAAATCCGATTGAATCAAGAGTATTTTTTCTTGTCGATGTTTTCAAGAGTCTGGACTCTAGATTCAATGTGTTTTTTTTCCAGTGCTGAAAATAAAACATTTCATCCGGTAAAATTTGGCAAAGTTCAACTGCTGATACGTCGTTGTTCCGTAAAAGGATAGAAAGAGGAGGAGGAGAAGAGTAGCGAAGCTGGATGCTGAATGCTGATGCTTTAAAACTTAATACAGGGCAGGACATCGTAAAACGGGAAATAGCGAGAGCGGCCGGGAAAACTATTCCATCCGGTTCCGGTTGCCGCTTCGTCTATAGGTACTGGAAAATCGCGTACCTCGATCCTGGTGTCTTGAAATTTCTCCTCGTGATTAATTTTTCTTGGAGAACAGTGCAACATAGACTGATATTCGGACCGAGTTTAACAGAAAGGAACCAAGCCACATCAGCTACTGCCAAGTTTAACTGGGCAATTAATTTCTTTACGGGAGAACGTTTGTTCGGATTTCTTTGAAAATTTTAAGGAATTTGCTTCGTACCTACCATGGAGAATTTTCACTGAAATTTGCACAAAAATCCGCACAACCGTTTTCATGTAAAAAATTAAATTGCCCAGTTAAATTTGGCAATAGCTGATGTGGTTTGGTTCCTTTCTGTTTAACGCGGTCCATTTTTGCGAGATATACGGGGTGTCCAAGGGTTGACGGTAGATGAAGTGCGGTTTTTTTCTGCAGGTCATGATGAGGCTTTTTTTTTGGTGTAAATTTTTCTTCCAAAAATGCATCCCTCGGAGCTACAGTCCTTTAAATTTCTAAGAAATCACTCACTTCCTCTCCAATGCTGCTCACAATTCTGCTCTATCTTCAACCATATAAAGTTGATCCTGGACGTATTTTTCATTGCACTTTTCAATTTTGGGCTCAAAATCACATTGCTACCAGACTCAAGCAGAGATAGTTTGGGTTCTTTTCTCCTTTTTTTTTTTACAAAATTGACTTTTGGCTTTGGAGAGAATTCTATTACCCAAAGCTATATTGGATGTAAATTAATCCAAGCGCTAATTACACCACTCAAGAGACAAGTATGAATGAGCATCAAATTTATAAAAAACTGTTTCCCTTCCACCAACCAATTATGAGGTCATCGCCTGCAAGGTCATACAAAAGCAATAAAAAATTCTGATTTGGCTTAATTTTCTCAAAATATCAGTTCATAGGATCATAAGCTCTGAGGGACCATGAGTTATAAATGCTATAATACTTTTAAATGCTTTTCTACCTGCTGAGTAAGCTAAAATATGGCACCATGATTTTTTAGGTTTCAGAGAAGAACTTTCTTAGTGGCTGATGTTTCCGAATAAATTATCAATAGAGATATGATTATTCAGGGAATGATTTCCAAATTTTTGCCATTTTCTATGGCATTTTAATGTTTGCCCCACCCTCAACAGTGCCAGACCATGGTAAAGGTTGGTGTTCAGAAGCTAACTACTATCCCCTGTTGTGAGTTTAAAGTGAGAGATAACTTGCTCAATGAAAATTGCGGATCCATAGGTTCATCTGTAAAATAGACTAAGGGTCGATAAAATAGGGTTTGATTGGTTCCACTGTGTTGGTGGAACGAGTTTCACTCGTTTCCCGCAATCTCAACCATGTCTAATATTGTTGAAAAGAGTATAGTATTTGAAAGTTTCGGTAGACAGGGTATTTTTGTTGGCCGTAAAAAAGATTGTTATGAAGGAGTGATGCACTGCTATTGATGGAGAAGCGGAAAACCTGACGCGTTAAGGAGTCTGAGCAATTACTTGACCAATATTTTTCATTTTTTAAAAGCCAATTTTAGATTTTTTTGTAGAATTGCCAAATATAATTTCACCAAAAAATCTACAAATGGCATAAAAATGTGAGAAATATTGATAAAGTTTGAATCTCATCAAAATCTTAAGGCGCCATTGTGGCCAGCATGTTGAAAATTTAGGAGCGGTCAGAGATTATTTGGGAGCCAAAATAATTTTCTTTTTTATCTGAGAAATTACGATTATTGTTACAGTATTGCTTGGAAAGTAAGAAATGATCTAATTTTAATTTTTTTTTTTTTTTTAACTTATCATATTGTTTACCAACTTCACATTTTTTCACATGTTCATCATAGATTTGCTGCAACTCATCAGGATCGGATTTCTTCCAATTGCAATTGCACGTTTGAGGAATATTTCGGATACCCGCACATGCTTATTTGTGCGCCAACTTTGGCCATGGCTTTAATTATTTAGGCGCATAAGGCGCATGGCGCCTGTGGGATTCAAACAATGCTTGGTGCCATTAGGTGAATTTACTCTCTGCTTGAACAATTGCTATTGCTGCCATGGTTACACAAAGCAGTAAGTATCGCAACAGTTCAGGTACCTATTTCCAGGCACTCCAAACTTCCTATTTTTCTCTAACATGGTTCCATTCGTCCATGGTATCCACTTGTCAGTTAACAAAAGTAATTAGACACCAGTTCATGAAAATATATCCATCAAACGTAAATTAAGTACATAAAAAAAAAAAAAAATAAAAAAAAAAAATGAGATAAAAAATCAAATGAAAGAATCAAGAAGCTTTCTTACCTTATCATTGTGTAGGTCTTGATTAGATGGTGTTTTTGATGAATTCCAATCATCCATTGTGACTCAAATGATTTGGCTGAGTCGAGATAAATATCCGCAAACAAGAGGCGGATTTAAGGTAAAAACTGAGGTCGTACATTTACAGAGAACAGCACTTAAAGATGACACTGAATCTACTGCATCCTCATATCACTGAAAAAAGAAGAAAAAACATGATTAAAAAAGGATTTTCCTATAAGAAACACAAAATTTATAATTTCATCAGATTTAACAAGATACACATCACTAATCCAGATTCTGGGAATTCTGCTGGGACAGATCAATGTTAGAACAAAAATAAAACGTAATTTATTGATATGATCACTAAATCATTACAAAACTGGACATCACCTAATTTTTTTTTTCAGGAGAAATTCAAAGGGATATCAAGAAAGTGTCTTGAAAGTAAGAATAATACAAAAACTTAGGTTTCCTTTGTACACTGAGAACGTTTTGTTGGCACAAGTCTCAGTAAATCCAGGGTGAAGCTCCTAACTTCTCATTTAGCACAGCAGTGTAAAGAAGATAATTTAATGCTCTTCTTATAAGATTTCTTTTAAGTTATGCTTTAGAGGAAGAGTGAGAATTTTTAACTTTGATAAGGACTGACTAAATATTGTGTTAAACGAGGGATGCAGAGGCATAACTAAACATTACATAGGGGTGAAAAATCCGGGCGCTGACAATACGCAGAAAACATAAGGCAAAATTATACCTCCAAAAGTGAGGGTTTACAGATCAGGGTGTTTTCAATTTTCAAAAAGGAAGCTAAAGGCAAAATTCACAGTGAAAAAATTTGGCAGATCGTAAGAAACTGTCATGAGTTTAGGAGATGTTGGCACCAGTAAAATACGGCGCGCTCGTCCTGACGACAATACTAATAATAGTAAGTAAGTGGCTGTCGCACTTACATGCAGGCTGTGCACTTTGACCCATTAAGAATGCGTCAAAACTGTCAATTTTTCCCGCTACTTTCAAGCAAGATGTAGGTGCGGTACAGCATTCTAGTACTCTGAATGTTGAAGATATGTTCAAACTAAATGCTGCGTCATGAAGAAATTTACACCCTAGAGTACTAATACACTTCCTCTAGAGTCTAGTTACAAATTAACTATGTGAATGATCCAGTTACGAAAGCCCAATATTTACTTCCAAACTGTTTGTTTCTTAGCTTTAGAGGACCAATGTATAATTTACTTTCTTTCCGGGTTACCTAAAATATCCCTAAATGAATGCACACCTTCTGCTACTGATCTCTTACATTATTTGCGAACTCTACATACAGCCTCATCATTGATTGTGATTAGCGGAAATTTAATATAAGAATCAATTATAATATTCGTCAGAACCAGTTAGTCCTGAATGAAATAGATAAACACAAAAGATAAAGCTTGTTGACAATTTAGTGCATGATATTATGGAAGAGGAATACGCCCACTTACTTTCAATTCATCTTTTTGCTTATTGCTCTTAAGCTCATGATGAAACAGAAAGTTAATTAACATAGGGACACATTAGAGGGAAATTCCTACAAAACGCTTCGAGTTCCTGAATGTAAACACCATAAAGAAAGTCAAAAATCATTACCGTAAAGGGTGAGGAGGCCTGATGCAAGAGATGACAGACAATTAGACCGAACGTCATAATGGTACGAAGAAGGCAGTGAGAGCTTTCTATAGGCGTAGATTAAGATAAGAGAGATAAAACTAAATCGAAATGAGAGTATAAACACTTAAAGAAGAACAGGTTCATTGTGGGTAATTAGAACTTATCACTTATCACCCATGTAGAGACATTTTGAGGTTAGAATTAAACTACGGTTATGATAAAACTGGAAGACGAAAGTAAACAAACGCGGGTCTAACGCGGGTGAGGTACGATTTCACCGTCTAATGCACGATTTTGCTAACTTTTTACACGACGTCAATGACGCAATCGCGAGGAAGGGTTTAAAGTAGAAAATTGTAAAAATTTGGATGTCTGGTGCTGGAGACGTAGGACTTGTCTCTCGTCTCGTCTGAAACTTCTCGCTGTTCGGTTCGCTCAATCCCCCGATTCGACGCAGATGCATCAGCCGCGTGCGTTCACCTTCCCTCCGCATGAGATTTGTTTACAGGCAAGGAGAAGATGAGGCAGCTCATTTCTCAGAGCTTCATTGGAGCGCTTGTTATTCTAGGATGATTCCTCTTTAAAAGTGAGTGACCCACACCTGATTTTGCTCCTTGTCCTTGCATGTAGTCGTCAAAATACCCTATATTAATGTCCTTATTCATGTCCCACCCCCCTCCACCCCACCCTGAAATGGACTGCATTTTGCAATTTGGAACTATAAATTCTGGCTCTTCTGGAAAAACACTTATGTGCATAGGGAAACTAATGGCACATACGTTGTTTTTAAACCGGGCTAGAATTTTTAGTTCCAAATTGCAAAATGCAGTCCAAATAATCATCCGACCGAAGTTTGGAAGTGCAGGATTTATGCATTTTTTTAAATTACTTGGCGCGAAATTGAATAAGCGCCAATGAAGGCGGGGGAAGCGGGAAGGGGGACCAGGAAACCTTAAAGCGAAGGGGGGGGGTGCAGCAAAGGACCTGCGAATATTAGGTACCTATGTTTGAAATTTTCCTGTCACTGTTACGGCATTTTCGATGCATCGATGGCTAACGTTTAAAGAGCGCATCTCCCCTACAACGTTGCACATTTTTTTTGCAAAGTTTTCAAATTTCGGACTTGAGCGTCATAATTAGTTTTCTCAAGTGGGGAAAACAGCAGAAACATGAAACAATCCAGACATACGGCAATCTTATTGATGTAAGTTGAAAGTTGAAAATGCGTATCCTAGTTCGCGACGTTTCAGACTTCCTGACTTCAAAACGCCTTCTTTTTGTGCGTATGCAACATGGACATCCATGGAGCCCGAATAATTGTATCAAAGAGTGAAAATGAAATTTGGATTGTGTTCATAGCATTAGACACTAAATAAGGTAGCTTTAACTATTTCTCTTGCACAGTCACTTAATTCCAGCGTTGCCAATTGTGCCGATGAGGCAAACTATTTCTGATTTTTATCGCGACATTTTAAATTATGCGAGTAATGCTTTAATTGTTGAAATATCAACAACGTTGCCGTCCTAAAATATGGGCCTCGCCCAGGCCCGCCACATGGGGGGGGGGGGGGGGGGGGGGGAGATATTGGGTCCCTGATACCGGGGCCCGTGCGGCACTCCTTCGAATTCACCATAACCCTTCTCTCGTAAGGAAAAGTTAATAATTTACCCTAAAAATTTCGCAAAATGGGAATTGTTGGAATATGAGGAAAAAGGAGACAAATTACGATCTGCTTACGAACTGGTTTATTCGTCGCCCATCGCTGGGGCGGTTATCAACGCAACTGACAAAAACGATATTGAGGATTGAAGATTCACAAACAGGAAAAGTTACATAATCATTGAGGTCGATGCACGATATAGATTTAGATAAGTCAACAGGAATAAATGTTCAAAAATACGCTGGAACACTGTAGGGTTCTTCTTACATCTTCGAAGAACTCTATTTATTTTCAAGATTTTTAGTATAGGTATAAATTATTTTTTGTAGGTGAATAAACTTCCCCCCATAAATGTAATGATCATTTATTTACTTTATCTTCATTCTAACCTCATTGATTTTCATGATATTATAAATTATTTTTCTGGTAGTAAAGGGGCGGGGGAAGGGGGGGTGGCACTCATGGGGCTCAGACCTTAAAACTGGTACCAGGGCCCGAGCTGGGATGTGGCAGGCCTGGCTGCGCCCTTACCTTCTCTGCTCCCAGAACGATGAATGCGGCAAGGTCGTTCCATAGAAAAATCGGAGCGCATCTCAATAAATTTGTATTTTTTTTCCACTGAAGAGTTAGAAAAAAGTACAGTCAGAAATGTAAATCAACCCTTGATTAGGTCAGAGCCTGGTGCAGCAGGGCCCGAATCCTGTAGAAAATATTTCATACGTTAGTGATTACCTAACCCTTTACCGCATGGAATTTTTTCGAGACACCGATTTTGATGAAATTAAAAAGGCGTATCTTTGAGCGTTTTTCGAAATTTTACTTAACTATTTCTTCAATAGTTCTATCAAAGTGTATGGAGGAAGATAAGCTAGTGTCACGCGATAAAATCGAGTCATCAAATTGTCAGGGTTAAAAAGAAAATTATTAGAGCTCAAAATGTTTGACTTTAATTGAAAATGTTGAACTTTTTGGCCTTGTCTTTACCGCAAAATAGTGTGGACCCAGCACCATTTTACCACCTTGTTATATAGAAACTTCTACTTCGAATACCTGCGGCCTGCAAGTATTTGGCGAAACGATTGGCGGAGTTAGCTAATCAGAGCTCACCTATTCCATAAAAAACTTGCGAGGCTCTGGTATTTGAAGAAAAATGCCTCATCTTGAAAATTTGATGTCTCGATTTGATCGTGTGACACAAAGCTTTTAAAACATGTTTCTATGAATAGATTCCTACTCCTTGGTTGGTTTGTTGCCTATGCTACGAAAATGAAGGAAAACAGGCATTGAAAAGAGAATATAGGGAGGATGCCAGAGAAAAAACTTTTGCGCCATCCTTAAAAAGTTGGCAAAGAATCACTAACAACGTGTTTACATCTTCATAATATCTTTCCGGGCGGCACGGGCCTCCAATGAAAGGTATTAAATGCAACAAACTTCGAAACTTCCTCTTGGAGCTCCAGCTTTCACAGCGTCAGGAGACGAAAGATGCTTATAGCTCTTCCTGGAATGAAGAGCTGCCAAATTGCGCGATGAAATTTCCTCACTTCTCGCCAGATTTTAATAAAGAGACGCAAATCTGGCAATAATGCTAGCGTGAGATCCAACTTTTACCCCCGTCCAGTTTTGCGACGGTTTTTATAACCGCTCGTATTATAACAAACCGAGCTGCATTTTCTGCTTCAGAGGATATAAGGGCAACTCATTTAACTCCTGAGTGAACCCTGGGATAAACAAATCCTGGGTACCCTGTTTTTTAAAAGAAAACAAAATGTAGACGGATGTTATCCGTACCATTTATTTTGATGACCCATAATGTATGCCTCTCCTTCGTCTAAAAGCCTTAAAAAGCCATACGTCGACGGTATGAAACTGCAAAAATGCGGA